GGTATCAAATATTGAATTTAGGGTTCTTCCGGGGTTTGATGCGAGGATGGAGACGATGGAGCCGAGATCTCGGTTGTGTCGCGCTGGAAGCTTTCCCACAGAGCAGGAGGAGCGGCGGCGTTGCCGCATTGTCGCCGCCAGCGTCGGATCTCCTCGGTGTCCTCAGGCAAGGGCTTCTCCAGGGGAAGCGCTGGAAGGAGATTGCCGCGGCGTACCAGGGGGCGATCGACCCGCAAATCGCCGGCCAGGTACTCAAGAATGTGTGGGACGTCCGCCTGGCCTGCTGCGTGTTCTTCTGGGCTAGACGAGAGAAGCAGTGTGTTCACACGCTGTGGAGCTACCAGTGTTTCCTGGAGGCGCTGCTTCGATCCAGGGGAGGCTCGCTCGTCATCCGGCACTACGTCGAGATGGTCAAAGCGGGGATTGGGCACGACGAGTATGGATTTTGCCTCGCGCTCGCGGGGATTTGCGAGACTGGATCGTGGTTCCAGGCGTTTAAGAAGCTCAAGAACAGGACCATCTTTGGGAAGCCACTGAGCTCCAGCATGTTTAACGTGGTCTTGGAGGGAGCTTGCAAGCGAGAGCGATTGAGAGGAGCTGCCGATATCCTGCGGTACATGACGAGCGTGGCGATGGTTTCTCCGGACGTTTTGAGCTACAGGATCGTGATCGAGGCTTTTGGTGCTGGGCATTGGATCCAGCAAGTGGAAACTTGTTTCCGGGACATGGTGGAGCGTGGTATCGAGCCGGACGCTGCGATTTACGAGGCTTTGGTGGATGCTTATAGCGGAGTTTACAGGCAGGAGGAAGGATGCAAGGCTTTTAGCTCGATGCTCGAGCGCGGTTGGAGGCCGAGCTCTGACGCTTACTCGGTTCTTTTGCGGTGCTGCCTCAAGAACTGGGATGGAGTTTCCGCCTACAAGCTCTTCCGAGAGATGGAAGGCGTTGGCTACGAGCTGACGGGAACTCTTTACCAGGAGATGATCCATGGCTTTGTCAACTCGAGGATGTTTAGCGAGGCACGGGCTCTCACCAAGGAGATGGTCTCGAAAGGATTTAAGCCATCTCCCAGCGGCTATTCGGCTCTCATCCTGGCATTTGCCAGCCCGGCACGGGTGAACGAATCATGGGAAGTTTTCCAGGAGCTTCTCCAGCAATGTGGGAACGTCCTTGACCGGGAAACTTACTCGGCGTTTGTGACGAAGCTGGCAAAAATGGATCGAGCAGCCGAGGCAGTGAGGGCCTACGAGGGAATGACTGAGTCGTGCGATCGCAGGCCGGATGAGAAAACGCTCCAGGAACTGGTGGGATGCTTGTGTAGAACTGGCAGCGTGGATCTAGCGCAGTGGCTGATCAACCAAGTCGTGCACGACTTCAAGAACATCGTTCCCAGCGTGGAGACTTTCAACATGGTGCTATCCGAGTACTGCTGCTTTGGGCCGAGCTACGGCAATCTGAGGTCCCTTGAGATAAAAAAGGCGATGGAGCTGCTGGACGAGATGGTGAAGCTGGGAAGGCGGCCGACTGTCAACTCTTTCCAGATCGCCGTGCATGGGCTTTGCAAGGCGGGGCGAGCTCTCGACGCGTACAAGCTCTTCCTCACTATCCGGGACTTCGATCTAGCTCCTGACGCTGCGACGAGCAAGACGGTGATCATGGGGCTGTGTAGCATCGGCAGGATTGTGGAAGCCGAGCTTGTGTTTGATCATCTTTTATCGGATCGAAGGGAGGTCAAGGAGAGCAGCTTGGTGGTGTCCCAGGTTTATAAGGTGATTGTGGATGCCAGGTGTAGTGATTTGAGGAAGCTCCTCAGGAAAGGAAGGAGATGGTGGAATGAATCCAGTGTAAGTTTAGAGATCGATTTTACTGAAAATAGTTGCTTGGGATGGTAGAAGAGTATTTAAACCACTACTTTAAACACTAACCTAGCAACTATTTGTCGGTAGAGACCATGAAACCACGACCACACACCTATATAACGTAAATCACTAAGCCATATAAGCATCAGGAAACTAAGGAAAACTAATGAATTAATTGCAACCACATTTACAATTGCAAAATGTTTGAAATAGTGAGGATAGAAGTAAATCATACCCCATATCATGTCAAAAGCTTGATATGAGCCTCTAGCAACATGCTTTATCAACAGCATGGCAAGGGAATGTAATTATATCTAGCAAAAAGCATGAATAAATTTAGATTGAATGGGAAGAATAAGGGAATCAAAGAAGAATAATCTAGAAGGCGAATAAGGAAAGCCTCTGCAAAGCTTTATGTGATAGTTATCACTCCTTAAATTTGCTATCTAATTTTATTTCTCTGCATTTTCATCTATCTTTCTCAACCATTTATTTTATCTCAGTTTGAGCCACTTCTTCTTGCAATGTTTTTCCTTTTATCTTTTTTTCCTAATGTGTTAATCTTAGTTAAGTGCTTTCAATCCCTCACCATTTTTTATTCTTCCACATTATTTCTTCCTCAAATTTTTTTCTTTCTCATTGTTACTTCCCTGACTCAATATATATCCTCCATGACAAATTCTCCATAACCTGATATGCATCAGCTAACCTATTTGCTCAAATGAATCCACTTATGGGGATTATCACTATCAAAGCACACCCACTTCGAAAATATCTTCTAGAAGCCTCTTAGCCTCATCCATGTTAAGGAGATTTGCAATAACAATCCATTAAGCTATCATAAGTTGCCACCACATCCAGCCCACAATTCTTCTTTATCATAGAGGTAAAGGTCATCTATGATACTATAATATACCATTTCTTTTAAGAGCTTGTTGACCTGGGTCAACAAGGCTGGGAAAAAGCCAGATACCTCTAGCTAAAACACTTTTGACTTGTCTACATTTGCAAGTTGAAGAAAATCCTTGAGAAGATTTTCTTTTCTTTTTCTTTCTTTTCTTTGCTTGCACCACTTTTCTTACCTTTTTCAGTAAAGCATGAGCTTGGATTTGTGGTATGACTCTTCTCATCTGGAAGCTCATGCACTTTTCACTTCATTTTCAAGGGTCCTAGGTTTTCACTATATCATTCCACTCCATTTGCCATATCCATCATTCTAGATCACTCACAATCACAATCCATTCATTCAACTATTCTCTCCAACATGTTTATTTCTTGCTATAGTTGCCCACCCAATTTAAATATACTTCTCACTAAACATACATCATACATAGCAAAAAGCAGTAAAAACTAATATATCAAACTTAAGATAGGATGTAGATTGTCTTGAAGCAGCAAATTTGCATAAATACAAGACATGTAGCAAATGATTTATGAATGCTGGTCACACTTGATGCACACAAGAGGCCAACCATGATTATGGACATTGTACTCAAACCCACAAACATCAACAATTATGGCAAATAGATAGAGCCTTATGTTGGTAGCAATTCGATTCAAAGAGATGATACTGCAGGACCATGATAAGAGAGAGACACTTGATGCTTGAACGTTAGATCCCTTGCTATGGTGGGGTATACGAGGGAGGAATCAAATGGAAGTGAAGGTCACCAAACACCATGGAAAAAGAGGCAAAGCTGGGAGATATAGACCTAGATGTTCTAAAGAGGAGATGACCATAGCAACCTCTCTTAGAGGGTGGAGAGCATTCCTAGGCTGAAGGTAGTATGAGAATAAGAAGTAAATAGCACCATGGGTTTTTTATAATAGTTTATAAGGGATATTGATAATGTATATAATTATTTCATCAAACCCACAAACTGGCATATCAATTGGGAATTACACTTTATATATTTGTGTTTCTTAGGTATAGTAATTTTCTACATAGACATGCATATTTACAAGCTTATAAAGTTTATTTTAAATATAATTATTTGAAGTGACATATTAATAAAAACATAGTGTGAGTGCCTAGAATAAGAAAAGGGAATATAGTAAAGTGCATATCAATTAGCTTATTTATAGGAGGGAATGGTCTAAATTGAAATTCTACTATACTAATATTAGTATATGGCATCATAGCCATACATTTGGACCACACATCATCCCCTCATCTTAGAAGGGTGCAAGATAGTCAAGGTTCTTTAGATAATTTAGGATTTAGAGGAACATTAGGAGAAGGCATTAGTGGATTTATAGATGGTGCTAGTTGTTCTTGATCCCTTTGATCCTTTTGATCAACTCTAATAACATAAAGAAGGTCGTCCTCAAGGCTATATTAAGAATGTAAATGCCAAAACAGTAAATCATTAGTAAATGATGTAGAATTCTCAAACCCTTTACAAAAATTTCAAATCCACACCTCAATCTTTTGAGCCTTACAAACCTCATCAAGAGAAGTTAAATCTTACTCCACACCTTGTAAATATTAAACATCAAGTATAACAATCACCAATAGCATGGAATCTTCATCTAAAAAATTCATAAATATTGGAACAACAAACTCATTAGGAACAAAATAAGAGAGTGAAAAAGGGAGAGGAACTTGACAAAGGGTATTATCATTAGCTATACAACTCCTTGAATGATGAACAACCTCAAAATCATATATCTGAAGCTTTAGAGTCTATCAAACAACACTACCAACCAAATTCTTCCATTTTAATAATGAAATAACCATAGCATTATTACCTTCAAGCAACCATGTAAATATGCAGCTTTTTGAAACCCTAAATTACTATTAAACACTCCTTTATTGCGGAGTAATTCACCTCTGCTAATTGTAATGTATAACTAATATATATAATGGGATGATGTTGATTAAGCACTTGTACTCTATTGCATTAAGACACCCCCAAGATTGATATCCAAGCATCTACATGCAAAATGAAAGGTTGAGTGTAATGAAGAGGAGTTGTTAATAACTCTTTAAAATCCATAAATGTTTGTTTGCGGTCTTCAAACTAAATAAAAAATGACATTAACAATTTCAGCAACATTTGCAATGGTGTAGTGCGATCAGAAAGATGATCAAAGAATGATTGAAATATTGCATATTACTCAAAAAGTGTGCACATCATTCACACACTAGGGAATTTGAAATAAACACAAGTTTGTTAGGATCATGAAAAATATAGTATCTAAGATAAGTTATGTTTTTGGACCTAAACACGCATTTTAACCACTTTAGCTTTATACCAACTTCCTGCAACTAATTTAACACTTTCCAAATATCACAAATAACATCACTAATAGTACTATAGTATATGAACCATCTATTTGGGATTAAATCTAGTCTATCTATTTTTTTATGGAAGAAATTAATATATTCCAAGCACTCATATTGGTGGAAGTGAGGGCATCGCAATTTGTACCTAAAGAGCAAAATTTATTAGTAATGCTTTGCTTTAGTGTTTGAGATTATGCTTTTTGTTATTATTTCTTCATTCTTTTTTAGATTTAGATCTATATTAGATTTTTGCAAGATTTAGAATTCTAGTTATCACTGTGCTTAGACTTGTTTTTTCTTTTGATCTTTATTGCATTTTTTTCTTCTACCATATTACCCTATCATCAATGAAAGAGTATATCACTTGAGGCTGTTGATGTTACTTCGTTAAATTGAGCTTTTGGTGCTATAAGGTGTGATTATGTTAATGTTGCACGCATCTTTGATGTGTTATCATTTCCAACTTTCGTGGGATGTGATTATATGGCTTGTCCTATTCTTAATGTTCTACCATCTCTCATTGATGTGAAGTGTGATCGTGACATCAATTAACAAGCTATAGATGATGTAGTTTGATTTTTGAAGAATATTCAAAAATTGAGTTTTATGTAAAGACGATGTTTACAAGCTTGAATGGATTTTGGATTGTGATGAGGAACTTGATTATTATGGAGGTAGCTTTGGAGATGAATTTAAGATTTCACATATCAATCTTTCAATTTGCCATTTAATCCTTTTTCTTTACCTTCTATTCTTTCTTAACTTTTTCTTATTTCTCAGCCTGAGCCACTTATTCGTTCCTCATCTGTAATGTTTCCTTTTTATTGCATATTGGTCATTTGTGACTTTTATGATTCTCATTCTTAATTTAGTGTTGAATTAAATATTTTTTATCCTCATATTAATCTAGATTTCAAGCATATGTGGGAAGTTGAGTGTTTCTTTAGCAAAGTCTTTAATCAATTTTAATATAAAGTATTATCTTATTTGAAAGGTTGAGTAATTTTGGCTAAAAGTTTGGGTTC